GGTTTTCCCTGTTAGCCAAATGCTGCCACCGGTCCCACGACGAAGCTGGTGGGGAGTGGAGTGGCTCGGCACAACATCCTATGTACAAGGAAGCCCTCTTGCTTGTTTTACTGGGCCTTGTCCATACCGGCCATCTGGGCACCCTTCTTCACCAGCAGAAAGTAGTACTCCTCCATGGTCCCTTTCAGTTCCCAGTCCTGGCTTGATGGATTAGACTGTGCTGCCATGCTTTGAATCGAGACAGGGTAGTGAAGTCGTGAAACCCAAATGTGGTATTCGCACGGCCAGACTGCTACTGACTACTTGGTACCAGAGTCATCGGACTTAGTAAACACTAGCAACTATGCTTATAACAGTACTTCCAACTAAAGTACTATACAGTAACCAGAATGTTCACCGCCACACCCCGCCTCACCCGGACGTCAGGGTGTAGGTCTGGGGTCGAGGCCGTCCCGAGTATCTCCCGGCAAGCAGGCTAGTGAACTACCACAGAGCACACAGACTCACTAAAGTGCCCAAAGCCCGAAAGCTCAAACATTCCCCGAGTGTTCTCTAAATGGCCGAAAATTCCTTCTAAAGTGCTGAGAGGCCCTAAGTCCTTGTGCATCTGGTTTGCAGCGACTTAACCAAGAAACCCTAAGCCCTAAACCTTAGCTGCCCAGTACCCTGGCCCCAGAAAGTATAAACTTTTGTTTTAGTAGGGGTTTAGTATACCAAAAAAGTTCAAAGTTTACCTATTGGGCTCCTAGGAAACCGAGGCACACGCCTAAACCCCAAACGCCCTAAACCACGAAACCCTGAATGTCAAACTCCGAAGCACAGGAAGCAGTGCTGGGAGCTCTTAGGATTCAGGGACCCTGAATCCAGGGTTTGTGGTTTAGGGTTTAGGTTTAGAGTTTTGTGGTTTAGGTTGAAAGATATGGGGTTCAGGTTTGGGTTTGGTGGTTTAGTTTAGAGATTTGTGGTTTAGGTTTACGGGTAAGGGTTCAGGGTTGAGGGGGTTAGGGTCTAGAACCTCCCAGGTTCAAACTTGGAGGCGTGGAGCCTAGACTTCCAGGGACTGAAAGGCTTAAGGTTGGGCTTCTCGCTGGATGGACTTAGTGCTTAAGGGTTCATGATGCAGGGTTTAGGCACGTAGGGTGCTGCTTCAAGGTTCAGGACTATGAGTGCTAGGATATCGGCAACATTGGGGAATATTTCGAGCACATAGACAATGCAAACGGCAATTGTGATATGTTGTAGAGCCACAACTATGCGCATCAGTGATAGCCCCTATGACCGTAACGACATGCTTTCGAACCCGGACGGACTCGCATACTTGGGGCTTGGGCTTTAGGAATTTAGACTCCAGGTGGGTAGGGACTACGGCCCTAATTACCTTCATCCTATGTAAAAGCCGTTCTACAGAGGCCTGAAGCCAAACAGAGTCGATCCTGCTCTCGCAAATGGAAGGCCAGCATCTGTACCCGAATCGCCCGCGAGCTCTTAGGGCCTATAGGGTTCAGTGCTTGGCCCATAGGCCCCATAGTAGTTCCTTTTTTGGGGTTCATATTCACATTCCTATAAGGTAATCCCAAAAAGGAAATACTATGGGGGACCCATGAGCCCCAAGGCCCAAATCCCTGAAGTGCCCGGAATGTCCATCATCTTCTCATAGGCGGGGTCCACCTTCCGATCACCGTCCTGGTCAAGACGGCTCCAGCGGGTTAACTAACCCTACTTCGAGGATCAGGGGACATATAAACTATATGGAATGCCTCATAATTGGGGGTTGCAACAGAAGTATACCTACTGTTACTTTAGTCTAGGCTTGCTCTCTGAGCCTCCTGACCCATTGAAGTACCCTAGACCGGACACTTTAGGCTCCTGTACCTCATGCTTGCTCTCAGGCGAGCCTGGGTTCAAGGAAGCTGCGAGTTTCGGTCTGTGGGATTCCAATCACCCCTTTAGTTTTGGGCTTAGGTTTTGGGGTCTAGGGCCAGTTTAGGGGTTAAGGGTTTAGGGCACATGTGGCATCAGAAAGCTCGGACAAATTCACTTTCAGCAACATTCGTGCCGCGAAGAAACCTTGGCATGTAGTAATGCTGAACCTAAGTCCCGTTTTTTTGCATATGGACTTGTACAACCGCCAGATTTAGGTCCCCTTTTGCATCCAGGACTCTTGCAAGCAGCCGGGAAACTCCACAACACAGCGCGTAAACCCAAACCCTAAAACCCCAAACGATGTGTCTGCTCAGTATCCGGATTTTGTGAGCGATCTGGGAATCAACGGGATGTGACCGGACAAGGCGTGGTCAAGACTGGCTCGATCCCTTCCGCTCGCCTACTCTCTTTCAAAAGTTTTACAGTTGTAGGGACCACCGATTCTGAACTTTAACGTTTGCTCGTCCTCAAGTGGAAGGGAGGAGTCACGAGACATGCACACGTTCGTCTGCTTGCTTGCGCACCAGCACACTGAAACAGTATTGCAGGTGCACGTATTCCGTATTTCGAAGATGGTATGCCTGCACACAGGCATACGCACACGTGAATGTATGTATTTCTGGCTCCCACATGGCAACGTCAGCGCGCTGACACCGCATCGCAGGCATCATGTCGCATTCGACCTACTGAAAGCTGCCAAGTGTGCAACAACCAGTGAGGCTATATATATATATATATATGCTACCCCCCCCTCCAGAATCCGCGCATCCACTGTTTGTAGCACCCAGGTGTTGTGTTTAGGCA